CGCTCATTGATAGAACTTTAAACTAGACATGAAAGGGGAGGGGGATAATATCAGGCTTGCCCATGGCAAGCCATGGGACAATTGCACCAAGGCTTGAGGGACGGGGTGCTAGCAGGGAACCTCAGCCTGTTGCTCTAAGATGTACTGGGTACACTGGAGCACACTTGAAGTATTATGGAGATGAACCAGGGGCTCCTGAGGTAATAAGAGCCAACAGGGAAACACCAGGGAAATATCTCAAAGGAATTGAGTGTTTCTCAAGGAAGGTGACATGGCCGACAGCCCAGCTGAAGTGCCTCTACACCAATGCATGCAGCATGGGCAACAAACAGGAGGAGTTGGAAGCCACTATGCTGCTAGAAAGCGACAACCTAGTTGTCATTACTGAAACTTGGTGGGACAAATCCCACGACTGGAGTGCAGCTATTGATGGCTACAGTCTGTTCAGAAGGGGGAGGGATGGAGGAGTTGCCCTCTTTGTCAAGAAATTCATAGATCGTGAAGGGCTGTCTCTGAAGAATAGCCACAAGAAGGTCAAAAACTTATGGATAAGAATCAGAGACTGAGGCAACAAAGGGAACCTTGTGGTTGGTGTCTACTACAGGTTGTCCGATCAAAGGGAGCCTATTGATGAAGACTTCTTGCTTGAGCTACAGGAGGCATCGCACTCACAGGCTCTGGTCCTGCTGAGGGACATCATCTACCTTGACATTTGCTGGAAAAGTAGCATGGCGAGCTGTATGTAATCCAGGAGACTCCTGGAATGCATGGAGGATAACTTCTTGAGCCAGGTAATAGACAGCCCTACCAGAGGGGATGTGTTACTGGACCTGTTGGTCACCAACACAAGTGAGCTAATCAGGGACATCAAGCTGGAAGGCAACCTGAGCTGCAGTGATCATGTGTGTACTGGTGGAGTTCTCAGTCATGAGGGATACGGGTCTGGCAAAGAGTAAAGTTAGGACCCATAATTTTAGGAAAGCAAACTAATTTTAGGAAAGCAAACTTCCAACTCTTGAAGAAGTTAGTCAATAGAACCCCCTAGGAAACTACCCTTATAGACAAGGGAGCAAAACAGAGCTGGCAGATCTTTAGGCATTCTTTCAGTAAAGCAAAAGATCTCTCAATCCCCAAGTGTAAGAAATTGGGCAAGGAAGGCAAGAGACTGGCAAGGGTGAGTCAAGATCTACTGCTCAAACTAAAGGATGGGAAGGAAATGCACAGGCAGTGGAAGCAAGGACAGGTATCCTGTGAAGAGTATAGGGACACAGTCTGGTTGTGTAGGAATGGGATCAGGAAGGCAAAGGCACAGTTGGAGCTGATCTTAGCAAGGGATGCAAAGAATAATGAGAAGGGCTTCTACAGCTACGTCAGCCAGAAAAGGAAGGTCGAAGAAAGTGTACCACCCAATGAACAAGGCTGGCAAACTGGTAACAATGGACAAGGAGAAGGCTGAGCTACTGAACAACTCTTTTGACCCAGTCTTCAATGGCAACCTCTTTTCCTACACCTCTTGAATGGATGGACACCAGGATGGGGACTGGGGGAGCAAAGTCCCTATCACTGTAAGTAAAGATCAGGTTCATGACCACTTGAGGAACCTAAATGTACATAAGTCTGTGGAACCCAATGAGATGCATCCCAGAGTCCTGAGGGAATTGGCTGATGTAATTGCCAAGCCACTCCATGATATTTGAAAAGTCATGGCAGTCAGGTGAAGTCCCTGGCAACTGGAAAAAGGGAAACATTGTACCCATCTTTAAAAAGGGTGGAAAGGAGGACCCTGGGAACTACCAACCTGTCAGCCTCACCTCTGTGCCTGGGAAGATCATGGAACAGATCCTCCTAGAAGCCATGCTAAGGCACATGGTGGACAGGGAAGTGATCTGAGACAGCCAGGATGGCTTCACCAAGGGCAAGTCCTGCCTGACGAACCTAGTGGCCTTCTATGATGGAGTGACTCCATCAGTGGACATGGGACAAGGGCTACAGATGTAATTTATGTGGACTTCTGTAAAGCCTTTGACACGGTCCTCCACAATATCCTTCTCTCTAAATTGGAGAGAGATGGATTTCAAGGGTAGACTATTTAGTGGATAAGGAGCTGATTCTATGGTTGCATCCAGAGAGTAGTGGTCAATGGCTCAGAGTCCTGATGGACATCAGTGACCAGTGGTGTCCCTCAGAGGTCTGTATTGGGACCAGTCCTGTTTAATGTCTTCACCAATGACATAGTGGAATCAAGTGCACCTTCAGCACATTTGTAGATGATATCAAACTGAATGGTATGGTTGACATGCCTTAGGGACAGGATGTTGCAGAGGGACTTGGACAAGCTCAAGAAGTGGGCCCATGGGAACCTCATGAGGTTCAGTGTTAAGGAAACTTTCCCATCTGACCATTCAGGAGCCACTCTGGGAGTTACACTTGCACCATCCGAGACTTGTAACTACTAGGACCGAAGCCCCTTCACAGCAGGTGGCTCCAGTGAGCCAACATGTGCCCTGCTTGACTCCCTACACACCACACTCACACAGTCAGACACGTTTCCCTTACTAGCTTGACCCTACATTTCCCATAGCAGTCTCAGACATCTGATTCCTTTAAGTGTTTTAATTGTGGTGCTGCAATATAACAGCTTGAAGTAGTACCTCTAGGGAGGAATCCCTGGGCTTTTATAGTCTTACAGTCTGTGCACCCAATCCAATGATGATATGTAGGTTGGGGTCTTCTCATTGTTCACTGACTCCTGCAGAGTCTCTGGGTGACCAGCCACCTGGCTAGTTACAGCAGGTCTGTTTTCCCTGCTTACAAAGGGTCAGTACCAGTTCATGGTTTGTTGCCTGGGACTCCAGCCATTTCCCCCCACCTAGCACACATTTTGCAGCTTGCACTACAGTTTGCACATGGAGCTGCCTGCGCTAGATGTATTCCTCAGCATTCAGCAAGGCAAAGTTGTGCTGGTTTTGGATGAAGTAGAGTTAATTTTCTTCACAGTGGCTGGTATGAGACTACGTTTTAGATTTGCACTGAAAACAGGGTTGATAATATAGAGATGTTTCTGTTACTGCTGAGCAGTGCTCACAGAGTGTCAAGGCCTTTTCTATTCCTTGTACAGCCCCACCAGTAGAGTGAGGGTGCACAAGAAGTTGGGAGGAGACACAATTGGGACAGCTGATCCTAACTGACCAAGGGGATATTCCATACCATATGGCATCATGCTTGACATATAAAGCTAGGGGAAGAAGGAGGAAGGGGGAATGTTCAGAATTATGGCATTTGTCTTCCCAAGTAAACATAATGCATGATGGAACCCTGCTTTCCTGACTGCCAATGGGAAGTGGTGAATGAATTCCTTGTTTTACTTTGCTTGCACACATGGCTTTTGCTTTCCCTATTAAATTGTATTTATATCAACCCATGAGTTTTCTAGCTTTTACCCTTCCAGTTCTCTTCCTCATCCCACTGTGGAGGAGTGAATGAGCAGTTGTGTGGGGCTTGGTTGCCAGCTGGTGTTAAACCACAACACAAGTGCAAGGTCCTGCACCTGGGTTGATGCAATCTCAGATATCAGTACAGACTGGAGGATAAAGGGATTGAGAGCAGCCCTGCAGAGAAGGACTTGGGGGTATTGGCAGAGGAAAAGCTGGACATGAGCTGGCAACATATGCTCGCAGCCCAGAAAACCAATCCTATCCTGGGCTGCATCAAAGGAAACATGACCAACTGGTCAAGGGAGGTGATTCTGCTCTTCTATTCTCACCTGGAGTACTGCATCCAGCTCTGGAGTCCTCAGTTCAGGAAAGACATGGACCTCTTGGAGCAGGTCCAGAGAAGGGCCATGAAAATGATCAGAGGGATGGAACACCTGCTCATTGCAGGGGGGTTGGACTAGATGACCTTTGAAGGTCCATTCCAACCCAAATCATTCTATGATTCTTCTGTTAAATTTAACTTCCAGTAGGATAACTAGAATGTTTCTGTGGAGTTAAATAATAAATCATTCCCGTAAGGAGCTGCTTATGCACTTTCATTCATAAATACTCTATTTTGTCCTGGTCCACAAGGATAGAAACTGTCCTCTGATATAAAGAAATCACTTCTGAATCCCTGGTTGTTGCTGAACAAAGACAGAAATTCACATGAATATTTTAGGTCTGGCAGAACTAGCTTTTGTGCTAGATAGCGTGAAAATAGTAGTTGTAATATTTCTTACTACTGTTGTAACTTTTTTTTTGTTCCAAGAGGTAAATATATTTGAAGTAAACTGTGAAGTAATTCCAATGCATTTTCTTTAGTAGAAATTCAGTAGTTAACCATTAACAAGGTCTGCCAATGAGAAAATGTCAGTATTGATCTAAGAGCTGAGCACCAAAAAAGCAGATGTTTAAGACCAATATTATAAGAAATATTTGAGTATTCAATATGTATTAAAGGTTCTAGAACAGCTTCTTGCAGATCTTGTTTTACTGAGAAACATTTATACTTAGCTGATTTTTTTTGTTTTGTTACATGTAAGACAAAGACCTTTCATTAAAAGGGTGGGGTTTTTTTAATTTTCCTTTTGTATCATAATATTAAGGCTGACATTCCTGCACTAATTTACTTGTCTGATTGTAAGAGAAAATAACTAGCATGTTAAAAAAAGTACAAATATCTATACAGTAATTACTGTAGAATAAGTATCAGTTATTGCAGCTGTAGAAGCCATTTTTTCATCATTTTAGGTTTGAAAATATTTTATAATGGAGTTTTTTTCCCTTGCTATATACCTGATATTACTTGAATTTTCATGTTCATTACTTTCAGTTGCAAACATTTGCTTTAACCTGAAACTCAGAAAACTATAAAAAACAGCATATTGCTGAGAGAGGATATTGATTTATTGTCAGCATACTTATGTTTTGTTTAAAAATGCACATTTTGGGTATTACCTTAACAATTGTAATAATTTATTATATGAACATAATTAAGACTTTCTTTTGCTTATACTTCTGCAGTCCATACAGTGACACTGTTTCTCAATATCTTTGGATGTTTGGTCTGGTTTTACATTGATGCTACACGAGGGGTTGATTTTGGATTGAGTATCCTCTGGTTCTTGCTTTTTACCCCTTGTTCTTTTGTCTGCTGGTACAGACCACTTTATGGAGCTTTCAGGTAAGAACTTCAGCATGACTTAAAATATTTTTTAAAAATACTTCACTTGCTGAAATGCACGAACATTCCAGAATTTGCTTGTTTATCATTAAGATAATCTTTCAATATAATTTCATTAGAAACAAATAGAACATTTGCCATTAATTTGATTGCTGTATCTGAAATGTTGATGGCAATGGTTAGGATTATCCTAGAATGTCCTTTAAAATATTTTAAAACTATTTGCTCCTGAGAGCACTGAAGGTCCAGGAGTGCATCTGAAATGTTTGTATACCAATGCATGCAGTATGAGAAATAAGCAAGATTAACTGGAAGCATCAGTTCCCAGAGCTATGATATCATTGGTATTAGTGGGACTTTGTGGAATGAGTCCCACGACTGGAGTGCTGGGATGGAGGGTTACAGGCTGTTCAGGAGGGATAGGCAGGGCAGGCGAGGCAGAGGAGATGCTGCACTGTATGTAAGGGAGAGGTTTGATTTTACAGCCCTTACAGTATGATGATGTGGGTGAGGATTAGAGGGATAGAAGATAAAGGAAATGTTTTAGTGGGTGTCTACTACCGATTGCCCAGAACGGATGATAGCACTGATGAGTTATTCTATAGGCAATAGAAATCTCTGGATCAGTGGCCCTTGTCCTTATGGGAGATTTCAACTTCCCAGGCATCAACTGGGAATACCATATTGCTGTGACAGGCAAGTGTGGGAAATTCCTGAAGTTTGTGAAAGCTAACTTTTTAACACAAGGACTCAGGGAACCCACTAGGAAAGATGCCCTCCTAGACTTGTTTGTGAATAGAGAAGGATTCATGGGAGATGTGATGGTAGGTGGCTGTCTTGGCCACAGTGACCATGGTTGTGTTTAAAATTTTCAGTGTAATGAGAAAAAAGGTCGGCAGAGTTCTAAGCTATTCAGGGAGCTACCTAGCAGAGTACCCTGATTTTGAGGGCTTAGGAGTCCTCGAGTGCTGGTCATTTTTTAAGAACCACATTTTAAAAGTGAAGGAGCAGGCAATTCCAGTGTGTCAAAAGCCAAGCAAGTGGGGCAGAAGACCAGCTTGGCTGAACAGGGAGCTCCTTATGGAACTCAAGAGGAAAAAGAAATTGTATGATCTCTGGAAGAAAGGTCAGGCTTAGCAGGAGGATTACAGAGCCATGGTTCACATATGCAGGGAGAAGACACGAAATGCCAAAGCTGAGCTAGAATTCAAACTGACCAGTGTTGTTTCAGTGTGACGGTTTGGACTTGGCTCCCTGCCAAATGCCTGAAAGTTACGACAGCAGCCCCCTTCCCCCCTCCCTTCTTCCCTTTGGTTAAAGGAAAAGAAACTATAAAAATTAAAGAACCCAAAGTCAAGCTGCTTATATAAAAATATATTTATATTTACGCAAATTACAGTTATATACAGTTAAGATGCTATATACACAGTAAAAGGGAGTCCACCCCCCGCAGGGATAGGGAAAGGGAAAAAGGGGACAAAAGGGAACAAAAGGGACACCGAACAGGTATACTAGATCAAACTATACTAATAACTAACAAAACAGATCTCACCACGTCTCTTAGAACAGCAGGATCGGCAGTCACAGCCAGCACTCTTCAAACCTCCACGTGGTAGGACGGTGGACTCTGCAGGCCTCAGCCTTAGATAAGCGAGACTAACGCAGGGATCTACTGTTCTCAAACCTCGCCGGAAGAGAAGAGAGCAAGGTCTCTAATCTCCGACTTATTTATACTCTGGTTTACGTAAAAAATTGTATGGAATACTGGGTACTTGGCTACTTCCTTGGTTACGAACTGGTCACCAGGAAGGCTTAGACTAAAACCATCACAGTCAGACAAGAAGGGCTTTAAGTATGTCAATAGCAAGAGGAGGGCTAAAGAAAATATTGGACCAATACTTGATGCTGGTCATTTGAATAACAAGGATAAAGAAAAAGCAGAAGCATAAAATGCTTTTATTTTCTCAGTCTTTAATAATACTGAGTCAGAGGACCATGAGTGTGGGAACAGTGGCTTTCCATTTGTGGATGCTGAAATTGTAAGGGACCAGCTGTATCAGCTGAATGTTCATCAGTCCATGGGGCCTGACAGGATTTGTCCCAGAGTTCTGAAGGACCTACCACATCTAATGGCAGGACCCCTCTCGATCATCTACCAAAGGTCTGGGAGTCTGGGGAGGTCCCTACTGACTGTAAGCTAGCCAATGTTATTCCAATCTATAAAAGGGCATGAGGGAAGACCCAGGGAATTACAGACCTGTTAGTTTAACCTCAGTTCCTGGAAAAATTATGGACAAGGTCATACTGGGTACTATTGAAAGACATTTAAAGAATAATGCAATCATCAGGCACAGTCAAGATGGATTCATAAAGGGAAAGTCCTGTTTAACTAATTTGATATCTTTCTGTGATAAAGTCAACCGCCTAGTGGATGAAGGGAAGGCAGTGGATGTAGTTTTTCTGGATTTTAGTGAGGCTTTTGATACTGTCCCAAACAGCATCCTTCTGGACAAGTTGTCCAACTTCAAGATGAGCAAGTTCATGGTGTGCTGGGTGAAGAGCTGACTGAAGGGCAGAACTCAAAGGGTTGTAGTGAATGGGGCTGCATCTGGCAGGTGACTATTCACTAGCAGTATTCCTCAGGGTTCAATTCTAGGGCCAGTCCTGTTCAATATTTTTATCAATGATCTGGATGCAGGAGTTGAATGCACCATTAGCAAGTTTGCTGATGATACTAAACTGGGAGGTGCTGTTGACTCTCTCAAGGGACGACAATAGACCTTGCAGAGGGATTTAGATAGGTTGGAGCACCGGGCAACCATCAGTGGCATAAAATTTAACAAGTCCAAGAGCCAGATCTTGCACCTGGGACAGAGTAATGCTGGGCACAAGTATAAATTGTGAGAGGAGGGACTGGAGAGCAGCCCTGCAGAAAGGGATCTGGGGATGCTGGTTGTCACTAGGCTCAAAAGGACTCAGCAGGGGGCCCTTGCAACCAAGAGGGCAAACTGCATTCTGGGTTGCATCAGAGTAGAACCAGCCAGTCAAGAGAGGTGATTATACTGATGTATTTAGCAGAGAGTCACTAGTATTTTTAATTGATAACATTTCATTTTCATCATAAATCCTACATGTTCTCTCTTAGTAGTGTTCTTTTATATGAAATAATTATTTGTGATTTGATGGAGTTCAGTGTCATGTTATCTTTCAGGGATTTAGATTTTCGTAGCATTTCTTAGTGAATATTTATTGTTTGGAAAAGGAAAACTACTACTTGCATATTCAACTTTAAATTTTTTGTTCAACTGAAATAGTCATTTGTTGGAGTATGTGCAGGAAAATGGAGGCCTGGTGAACAACCCATATTACCAACTGTGAGAGAAACCTCAGGCTTCCCATGGGAAGAACACTTGGTTTACAGTTGGCAATTGTAAACTTGGGCTAACTTCCCATGAGAAGGAATTAGTTTACAGTTAACCTGAACAGGCTTCCCATGAGAATAGAATTAGTTTACAATCAACAACTATTCCATGTTGTGAGAACTGACGGTGGGAGCTGGTACCCAGGTGCAAAAACATCGAACCTGCATCTTGTCCAATGAACATGAGACATGGACTCGTGGACAGACTGAGCTATCCAATCCCCAGACTTTAACCCTGGACTCATGATGGTACAAAAATGTATAAAATGTGTACTGTGTGTCTTAATAGAGGATTCATTGCTTAATCATATTGGTTATTGTGATGAATCTGTGCTCTTGCCGTCAATAGTCGTTGAACTGAATTTGTTGAATAAATAGAAATTAACAATTTATCTTCTGCAGAAAGAGCTATTACTGGCAAATTCTGGTTCACTGAGTTGAGTGATTTTTAATTCCTTTAGAAATTTGATAAAAAGCATATCATGCAGTCATTAGTTTTCATAGTAATACATTGAGGTCTTTGAGATTTTGCCTGTATGTTTATATTTGGGGATTTTTTACAGGCTTTTAATGCTTTCCGTCTTTGTCAGGCTAGCATTTTAGTAATTTAAACAGCAAACATTTTGTATATTTTGTTTTAAAACAACAGCTGCTTCAATATTCTGATCTGCATTGTGTTTCAGCAATTCCATATTAGATTTTATTGTCTCTTACAAGTAAAATATTTTCTTCTCATCATGCCAGCACTGTGAACTTCCATCTGAAAGTGGACTGGACTTTTGTTCTTAATGCATTGTAGCAAAAGTTGTATGTTTAGTCTAAGAGGCCCTGCTGTGTGCTGAAGTGAACACTAAGAAATAGTATCTGGCTGTTTGTTAGTCTCACCTCTGTTAGAGGTGCAAGTGGCAAAAGTACTATATTAAAGAAGTAGCAGCAGTTCTTATAAATAAACACTCTACAAACCCACAGAATTACTGGTATTTCAAGTCACCATCAATAAAATATAAAAGCACTTTTCCTCTAGTTAATGCAGAAAAAAAATTTAGGTTGGTACTACAATACATGTCAAAAGTAATAAATTTCCTGGCTGCATTAATTTCCACCCCCCTCTTTCAGGAGTGACAGTTCATTCAGGTTCTTTGTGTTCTTCTTTGTATATATCTGTCAGTTTGCTGTACATATACTTCAAGCTGCAGGATTTCAAAGATGGGGAAACTGGTGAGTATTCTACTTTCTGTAGCATTGTACTGTCTGTAAGACAAACGCTCATATTTGATATAGAAACTACAAATCAGTCTGTGTTTTTAAAAGAAAAAATAATCTTGTGTTCACTGGAATTCTTATATTTAGCACTCAAAAAATCATTTTTGGAGTGCTCTTAACAAGAAAAAGTATGTGAAACATATCCCAAGAGCGTGAGATACTTCTGTTATTAGGGCTGGTCAAAATTTTCTTTCAATGTAAGCCACTGTCATGGTTTCACCCCAGCCAACCACCCACTGAGCTCCATGCAGTTGCTTACTCACTCCCCCACCAGCGGGATGGGAGAGAGAATCAGAAGGATAAAAGCTGGAAAATTCATGGGTTGAGATAAAGACAGTTTAATAGAGAAAGCAAAAGCCACACACACAAACAAAGCAAAACAAACAATGTATTCACTGCTTCCCATGGGCAGGCAGGTGTTCAGCCATCTCCAGGAGAGTAGGACCCCATCATGTGTGACAGTTACTTGGGAAAACAAACGCCATCACTCCAAACGTTCTTCTTTCCTCCTTCTTCCCCCCACTTTATATACTGAGCATGATGTCACATGGTCTGGAATATCCCTTGGGTCAGTTGGGATCACCTGTCCCGGCCATGTCTCCTTCCAACCTCCCACACGCCCCCAACTTCCTTGCCAGTGTGGCAGTACAAGAAGCAGAAAAGGCCTTGGCTGTGTGTAAGCCCTGCTCAGCAATAGCAAAAACATCTCTGTGTTCAGCACAAATCCAAAACACAGCCCCATACCAGCAACTGTGATGAAAGTTAACTCTACCCCAGCCAAAACCAGCACAACCACTTTGAACTACTCTTTTATATATTACTTCTCCTCTTTTAGTGGTGTATGGAGAACTTATTTACTCTATATTTATATCTTTGATATTATTTGAAAAACTCATTTGTCTGAGTCAGCTTCTTATTCTGTAATAGTTGATTTTTCATTTTGATTGTTATAAATATATAAGCTTTTACTTGAAGGTTTTTAATAGGTATAGCTTTATTTGAAGCTTCAAGGTCTAATATTAAGATTTTACAAGGAAAAACTATTGGGAATCGCTCGCCCTTCTTGGAAGAAAAACAAAACAACAAACTTGAATTAACAAAAAGCATGGTTGTAGTAGTCAGCTGATAGCATGGAGAGCTACGATTGGCAATAATGTACCTGGGTAATGACATTTCTGTGTATCAGTGGTTTTCTGCTGACCTCCAAATAAACATAAGGCAGAAAAAACATCATTGTTTTAGAACTGGAGTGTAAGAAAAAAATCCTGTTTTATTATTTTTGCTCTCAAAGCCACTATTTTGCTTTTCATAGATACCTCGATTGACATGAACAAAGTAAAAAAGTGTTTTTAGAGGACCAACTCTCCAAGTATGGGGTGTGTGCTTTTAAGAATACTTGGGTAAGGGGTATGAAAAGTAGCCAGATCATCATCAGATGCTAATTGCAGTTTTGATTTTGGAGTTCTGTGGTAGAGTCCAGTTGAACATAGGGGATATCAAAGCAATTTGAAACAAGTAGAAGAAAGTTTTAGGGTTGTTTGGGTTTACAGAATTTTTTTTCTCTTTGGTGAAAGAATTTTTTCTGTCTTAATGTGTTATTTATCCTAAGGCAACCTGATTTTTGTGAATTCAAGTTTCTGTTGATGTTTCAAATTTGAAGAATGGGGAAATATTTGAAGTAGATACTGATATAGCAATCTGTTCTCCTAATCTGACACTATCTACTTAAAGAAATTATATTAACCCCAATTGAGAAAGCATCACTGTGTGGATACAATGAAATAAATTTTCCTACAAAAGCTCTGTGTGTGTGCCATATTTTTTCTTTTCTTTTTGAAGAAGTTAGAAGCTATCTTTTTAGGGAAATTTTCTCTTCCACAGTAACCGTCCTCCCCAATGGAATCAGTTGCCGCTTCCAATTCTTAAAGATACAAAAAAAGCAATAACTGATTATGGCCTCAGCTCACCCTATGCTCTAGAGATTGTGAGGTCATTATTTGGAGCTTACAACCTGACTCCAAATGATATAAAATAAGTTATATAGCCTTAAATTATTCTGAAATGACAGTATGACAAAAAAAAAAAACAAACAAAAAGTTGATGAGCAGCTCTCTAATGTCTTTCTTAATTTCTTTACAGTTCTCAAGAATAATCATGTTTGCTAAAATTTTTCTTATAGTTTCATTACATGCATTGGGAAAATGGCAGCTAAGCTGTAAAAGCTTATTATAGAACAGAAATATCCTCATGTATAATTTTAATTAGTTTTCCTTAAAAAATATTCAGTTGATCAGAACCAGGATATTATAAAGCTTCCCTTGATGTTGATACCTGTGGTTGAATGGTTCATGTGCTATGCTAGTCAAGTTTGTCTTTTTCCTTCAGTGGGTGGATTTCATCTCTTACTGGTCTTAATAAGAGTATCCCTGTTGGCATTATGATGATAATCATAGCTGCACTTTTCACAGCATCTACTGTTATTTCATTAGTTATGTTTAAAAAGGTAAGTTACTTATTATTCCCCTCTTCTGTTTTTTGTGTTCTGGAATTTTCTTTCCTGCTTGAGGGGTATTCGGTCAGAAAGTAATGGGGATTAAGTTATATTCTTGGGCATGTGCCTGTGCCTTACCTTTTACCAACTGTGTTAAAAGTAGTACTTTTTTGCTTATACTGTCATGGAGTTATGAAATGCTTTTTTAACAGTGCACTTATTTCTGCAAACTAAAATGGGGAAGGATAGCTTTGAATAAGAGAAGTTGGGAGGTGAGCCCCCAGTGAAAGGGTAGGTATATGCACTGGATACTAATCTGTGGTTATTCATCAGGCTGAGTGAAGCATGATTCAAATGATTGCCAAGTTTCAGCTCATATAAAAATCATTCCCATTAAAAATCAATAGAAGAGTGAGATGCCTAGCACCTCGGAAAAGGGTTTTTATTTCTCTGCTTGTATTATTTTAACATTTTGCTGTCAATTAATGATTGCATAGCATAAAAGCTCAAAAATGCTTTTCTCCCTTGGTTCTTTTTTGTGAATTTCCATCAGAAGGCCTCAGTTTAGCTAATAATATGCTGGTATTTTACGTTGTTTTGATTAAATGTAACTGAGAATTGTGCTGCTGATGTACTGGTAATTCTAATAATTCAACTTCAGTTACAGTTACACTTGAAGGCTTTCATGTACCCAAATTCTACTGGCCTATTTACAGTAAGGTAGAAGCTTCCCTTCTCCTTGTTAGATTTTTTCATAAATACTCAGGTATAAGAGAAAGAAACTGTTGCCTTAAGACTGAGAGCCAAAAAAGACTCCAGGCAAATTTAGTATAGAGATAAGGAGCAGTCTTTTAATGAAGGCCTTCTCGCGCGAGGAGTACGCATAGCGCGCGTGCTACCCATGTCCAGGGGTTCCACAGTTTATGGTCTGATACGAGAACCACCCGCCCCTAGATGTGCCCCTGGGCATGCCTCCCTGTAAATTGAGTTGGAGGTCCTAAGACCCCTGTCCTTCCTCATCTTCCTCTTCTTCATGCCACCTACTTTCTATTGGAGCTTCTCCAAGGTTTCGGGCTTGAAGGTTGCTTTGAATATCATGGTATCTTGTTGTCCAGGCCTGGGGTGTGTATGTTCTTAAACAGAATGAAGGTCTGCTTTGAAAGGAGTCTAAACAAACTTAAAGAATTTAGACAATTTGATATGAAATAGGGTAATAGGGTTGGGAAAGTGTAAACTACAATTCTAAAGTGTGACAGACTATATAATTATACTGAAAATCTACATTTACTACACAGCTACTTTAAAATCTACAAAAAGCTAAAAATCCAAAGGCATGAAAAGAAATGAGAAAGATGTATGGTGAGCATTTTTTTACACTCCAGACATGCATCTGGATTCTTTTCAAAAAACATATATACTCAGATATGATCTGGTGACATTTATAACAACAAAAAAAGTTACAACATGAATTTTCCTGCTACATTTATAGAATCATAGAAAAAATAAGGTTGGAAAAGACTTTTAAGATCAAGTCCAACCGTCAACCCAACACCACTACCTTGTTCATCAATAAACCATGTCCTCAAGTGCCATATCCACATGTTTTCTGAACACTCTCAGGTATGGTGACTATCACTTCCCTGAGTAATCTGTTTCAATGCTTTACAACCCTTTCTGTGAAGAAATTTTTCCAAATATCTAATCTAAACCTCCTCTGGTGCAACTTGAGGCCATTTTCTCTCATCTTGTCACTTGTTACCTGGGAGAAGAGACTGACACTCACCTCACTATGACCTCCTTTCAGGTAGTTGTAGAGAATGATAAGGACCCCCTTGAACTTCTTTTTCTCCAGGCTAAACAACCCCAGTTCCTTCAGCTGCTCCTCATAAGACTTATGCTCCAGCCCCTTCACCAGCTTTGTTGCCCTTCTCTAGACTCACTCCAGCACCTCAATGTCTTTCTTGTAGTGAGGGGCCCAGAACCTAAACACAAGCTTTGTCATGTGGCCTCACCAGTGCTGAGCACAGAGGAATGATCTCTAGTCCTGCTGGTCACATTATTTCTGATAAAAGCCAGAATGCCACTGGCCTTCTTGGCCATCTGGGCACACTGCTTGGCTTATGTTCAGCCAACTTTCAACCAACACTCTTTTCCACTGAGCAGCTTTCCAATCACTCTTGTCCAAGTCTGTAGTGTTGCATGGGGTTATTGTGACCCAAGTGCAGGATCTGACACTTTGCCTTATTGAATCTCGTACAATTGGCCAAGGTGAAGGGCCTTGAGGGGAAGCTGTATGAGGAGTGGCTGTGGTCACTTGGTCTGTTCAGCCTGGAGAAGAGGAGACTGAGGGGAGACTTCATTGCAGTCTCTAACTTCCTCATGAGGGGAAGAGGAGGGACAGACACTGATCTCTTTGTGGTGACCAGTGACAGGATCTGAGGTTGTGTCAGGGGAGGTTTAAGTTGCATATTAGAAAGAGGTTCTTCACCCAGAGAGTGGTTGGGCACTGAACAGGCTCCCCAGGGAAGTGGTCACAGTACCAAGCCTGCTAGAGTTCAAGAAGCATTTGGACAATACTCTTGGGCACATGGTGTGACTCTTGGGGATGTTCCTGTGCAGGACTAGGAGTTGGACTTGATGGTCTTTGTGGATGCCTTCCAACTCAGCATATCCTATGACACTGTAAACTTGCTTAGGGTAAACTCGATCCCCTTTTCCAGATCATTGATAAAGAAATTAAACAGGTCTGGCCCAAATACTGAGTCCTGGGGAACGCCACTCATGACCAACCACCAACTCGATGTAACTCCCTTCACCACCACTCTCTGGGCCCAGCAATCCAGCCAGTTTTTTACTCAGTGAAGAGTATACCCATCCACACCATGGAAAATCAGTTTCTCCAGGAGAATGCTGTGGGAAATGATGTTAAAGTCTGCGTAGACAACATCCACAGCTTTTCCCCCATCCACTAAGCAGATCACTTTATCATAGAAGGAGATCAGGTTGGTCAAGCAGGACCTGCCTTTCATAAACCCATGCTGACTGGGCCTGATATGTGCTGTGTGATGGCACTCAAAATGGTCTGCTCTATGACCTTCCCTGGCACTGAGGTCAGGCTGACAGGTCTGTAGTTCCTCAGATCCTCCTTCCAACTGTGGCAGAGAGGGCACGGAGAAACTGCACAGAGATTAATATGATCAATAGGCAGATCCCACTTTATTAAGTGTTACAGTAGCTATTTTATACTTTCTTACACATACATGTCATCACATCATTGGTTAAGTACAGGCACATGTCCATGTCACTACACAATTGACTTGAAATAGTTACACTTCTTAGCACCCAACACCTGCTGCCATGCGATTGGTCCGTATGCAGTGTCCATGTGCATTTCTGCTCACAACTGTCTCACAGTTAGCATTCCTGCAAGCTGACATCAATGCCAGCACCCTTCCCACAACCTGCAAGCAGGCCTCTCACTAACAGTATGGTTTGTTCACAGTGCTCGCCTTAGCCAAGCACCCCACAAATCCCCCTTTTTTGTTTTGTGAACAAACCATACACACTGATAGGAAATTAATAAATTCATACAACACTTTTTGGCTAAAAGATCTAACACCTATGTAATGTATTATTAAGACTACAAATATCTATATACGTGTATATCCACACAGCACTTTTTTCTTGCACACCACTTTCATCCACACATTCAGCAGGTGGCCACCGCAGACATCCACACTCTCACACAAAGTTAAAATTCCTTAACTAAATAATTATTTGACTATAGAAAGAGAATGGTAAAACAAGTCAATCACCTACAGTTAGCCTTCCCAAATAAGAAAACTACATAACCCATGAATAAAAAAAAACCACTGCTAATGTTTGAAGATGAATGGCCAGTCTCTTCGCGAACGAAGAACCGGGGAAGGTCTTTCCACCTTCCAGCCTGCGCATTGGATTTTTTAGGTGAGACACAGTGTGCGCGGAACTGAGCCCACCCTTTAATCCTGAGGTTCATCTGCCGGGGCCAAGCACGCTTGGACGGTGGCAGCGAGGTCCTCAGGACGTAGATGGATT